GCAGGCCAATCCACCTAACTTAACGAAGACTAAAAAGGGCCATCATCGCAGCCGCACTAGAAGCGTTCAAAAACAGCCGTTATACAGTTGGAACGCATGAGCGTGACATTCTGTTGGCTGCTGTCACTGCTACTGTCATTGTTGTCACAGGCCGCATGAAGTCGTTCGCAGGAGACCGTCCGTCCATACACTGGCCCAGCGAATGTCTTTCGCTTAGTCGCCTAGCCGGTGATAACGTTTATCGTAATGGCGATAGAGATTTTCGCCGAGATTCTAATATTATGGTTATTGCGTTGCAGCGCTACCAACAAAACTGCTCGAATCGACGATGGCGGTATAAAATGGACGTCGCTTTTGCTTTTGTCACGGTTTTGGTTACTGTCGTCGTCAGCACTGGACATCAATGTTAGTTTAATATAAAGCAGGTGCCTATCAAAAACAAGGACACCGCCTATGCAACCAATGGCACTATAATTTAATGGCCTACTCAATACACAAAAATGACTAATGTAAGTAATGCAGGATCCCTTGAGAGCTGGTTGAACACCGCATTCTATAGAGAATTCTATGATACATGTCGCGTCCTAAAAGAGCATACGATGTGTAACGGGACACGTAGGTAGGGCGTCACACAAACGTGTCACAGCCGGCACTTGAATTGACTGGATCCAGCGGCAAATGACAACGTTCGTTTCCAATGTGGGGAATTCGTGCCGATTTTCTTAGCTTTTTTCGTTGGTTCAACGTTTGTGCCTCATGACTGTATCCGAAAATGTTATAACGTAACAGCCTAACTAGGCGAGAACTTCTGTAGTGCTTATATTCTCTATACGAGTTTTGGTTCACGATGCATTTTCAGCGTGAGCGCTGTCGCAATCGGCGCTCAACGCTAAAGGTCTGCCATGGGGGAGTTATAAGGGAGAATTGAGACGGCACCAAGCGTCCCTTCGGGGGCACAGGCGTTCCTGCACAGAACGCAAGACCAAGTAGTAGAACTGTGTAGACGGAAGCGGCTGCAGTGCGCTAGCCTGTAACATCGGGGCTGACTGCCAACGATGGCCAAACAGGTGCCCAAGTCACTGTGCATGGCATTGCGCCATCGGCCCGGTGCGTGGATGCTTACACAGCCTATGAAAATACCGGTGGTCCTCTTTGAGATAAAATACCTAAAAAGGCTGTCGATGGACAGCTAGAGCATTGCTTCGTTCGTGCTGCCTGGGGGTGCTCACATTTTAAGCTACCTGTATTGGTAACTAAAAGTACTGCTTGTATTTGTTCGTCATACAAACGGAAGATTAACCCACAGAGAGATGTATACAAAGGCCATTGCGCAGCACATAGATGAATGGAACCGCCTATATCCTCCACGCACAACAGCTGTTGTCTACGGTTTTACTTCGAAGCGCACGATCGCCTCGCTTTTCAAACGACAATCATAGGGAAATTAATTTACTAGTATCTTACCAAATATCTACAATACACACCTTTAGTCATAAACTTTGAAATGTGATTTCCACTCGTGAAAACAGCACACAGGCTTGAAACAATGGTTTTATATAGACGTTTATATATACATTTCTATTGTTAACCATCACAAATGATACTATCAGTACTCTGTATGATCTGAATTGTTAACAGGTGTTAATCAAAGTACAATGTCCTGGACGCTGCAAAAGCCCACAAAAATGTAGTAGTACAACAGATCATCGACATTATAGCCAATGCCAAATGCTCCATTTTTTAAAACTACATATTTTCTAATTAAAAAGGGCATACTATTTTTTAAAGGGTAGTTTCGCTATTGGCTTGTGTATTCTTTATATTTGATATGGAATGTAAATCGAGCAAAAACCTGCCTACAAATGCAGGACTTCCTTGCCGGACGTAGGAGATGGCACGTAGCGGGTTTATGTATTAGATATAGCAGTTAGTAAGTGTTTACAAAGTCGTGCAAGCGTATGAGATTAGATCGAGCTGCTCAACTTCTATTAAGAAGGTTGAAACAGGCTACTCGACTCGCGACTACTCAAAAAATGTCTGGATTTTAGAACGAATAAACAAAAAAAAAAAAGAAATCGAAACCTTACTATCGCCGTAATTACCACAACGTCTATGTGCAGTGTGTGACAAGTTATGGGACTGTGCGACTTGCTGGTACTTATTAAATTTAACTTAGTGCTACTCAATTCCTCTCTAGTAAAGTAAGCTGATCTGAATGTTTCATTGGCATTTTATTATAGATCTTTTCCAAGTCCAACATGCGGATATATCAGGTCAGATAGGTTACTAAAAACATTTGGAAGCTATAGCAAAAACAATTGAAATAGGTGAATTCAGCGCACGGCAGCCGCGGGAAAATGTGAATTTCAATTATCCATGTAACTCTCTGAGCAGTACACGCTGCTGAACGTTGTTACATTTAGCATATATTGCCGAACTGGACCTTGTATAATGCTTAACAGCTGCTTTCACTTGCTATATGCTATTTACTTACTAATAGGATTATCCACTTACAACAGTGATAAGTACCAGCATTCGTATATAAAGATTATGCTGCAGACGATACATGCGTGTCACATAAAAGCAATTGTTTCTAGCCTGTTGGTATAAACCGTGGGTCAATTACGTGGCCGTTCTGTGATCGGAACCAAGCGCGCCACTTTTGATTATCACTTTTAGTCATTCGTGACATAACTACATGTCGACATACTAACGGCTGCTTGTAGTTATCTAATCTAAGATACTGTGCAGACATATTGCTCAAATCTGGATTGTTCCGTTTCATCACAGATAGTCGCCCGAGATATAGCTGCAACGAACACCATTCACGTTAGACTCACGCCGGCACATACGAACTTACACTGGCTATTCTTAAATGAAAGCTTTATGTGCTCCAGTTTTCTTTTGTTAAACAGCATAGAGAAACCTCAGAAGGCTGAAAAAGTACATTGTGCGACGGTAGAACCAAGCCTGAAAATGGAGTCACGGGAGAACCGTTTCTGTAGAAAACGTTTCTCGTATTCTAGTACATGGCCGTGACAACGTTTCATTTTCTATTTATAAAGGGAGTATTGTTAGGGTCGGTAGTTCGGCTGTAACTTAGAATTTGAAAAAATAAATAAAAAGAAACGGCACATTGAGTACAGGTATATTATGATTACCACATAAGTGTTTCAAAATTTCGATTAATCAGTTTTAACGAAACGATCTTTAGCCGATTCCTAAGTTTTAAAAAGTATGATTTTTCTTTCGTTATTGTTTGAGGTAGGCTAATTTGTAGTAGGCCAAGCTGAACGGTAGTTTGTCTTAGGATGTCACTGTGTCAGCGAAGTGAACTTTATTACAGCCGGATTCGTGCATTTCGTTCCTACATCTTTGTTAAATTTTCCATAGCTATTTTTACATGGTTATCGGGTTAAACCCAAATTCTGCTACAGAACGGTTCTAAAATGCACAGGAGAAAGGCTTTGCAGATGTACTTGATTTTATAAATAAGCAACCTAGAAACTGTACAGCAATAGCGGGCTAGTTAGAACGAAAACAAGATTCCTGTTCTTTATAAGACCTCTGTGGACACAAAGAAGTTAGCTACACAGGTGGATGAAGGCGCCCCACAGCATCATACTTTAGTGCCCTAACACTGCATTTCCACTGAGCAATGCACGGCGATCAACTCTCTCGTTCACAAGATTAGCGAATTCAATCTATACGCCTTCGTTACTTCAAAAACACGCTGTATATGTTTTTCTTGTTTTAACCAGAACTCCGCTTTCAAAAGACTTGTCACGTCAGATATTTTTCTACGAATATTGCTATTTATAACATTTATCTAAGCTGCAAAGATAATAAACGTTGTTGAAAGAAAAAGCGAGATGAGATGGAATACAAGAACGAGGAATTATCGTCTTCCGTCTGTTAAAGTTCCGTTGTTTTAAAAAATACTTGTTTTGAAGCTCTGCTTACGCGCGGATAAGCGCGTGGCAAAAACAAGCTACTTTCGACGTGGCTATTGTTCCGTGTACCATTTTATAGGCAATATCTTGCCATATGCATGTAAAAATCGTGTCCGACCTGCCTATATACACTTTAATCATGTGTCACGTCCACGAATATTTAAACACTAAACAGTCCGTACTTGATCACCCTCCAATTGATGGTACATCATTGCAGATTCTACCTGGGGGCAAAAGAAGACGCGTGTAGTAATGCACCTTTGCTAAACATATATATATATATATATATATATATATATATATGTTTTATGGGGTTTTATTATTGTAATGATAGTCATAGTCCTGTAATTCAGCCGTCATTTTGATTTACATATGCACAATTATGTTGACGATGTATGGAAGGACCGGCTGGTTTACTTATTTAGCTCAACAAAACGCACTAATTATGCAGACGCCTATTATTTCGTTATCGATCCCTTATTACGTAATCCTCATATTTGATGTTCCCATGATTGTACGGATCATTCGTCGGTAGCCAATGGGTGTACCACGTTCATCTACATATCTAACAACGAATCGTAATTTTCAGTTTTTCTAACTTTCCCTCAATTGTCAGTCCCACTCAGCGCAAATGACCCTACATCGGGCTCCGGCACTTCACCAATATAAAAATTAGGCCACATATAACTGACCCATGCAAACATCAACTTAAGAGAACCGTAAATATGGACCATTTTAGTGTTTTAATCTACGATATCTTATACATTTCGCACATGCACAGACATTCACTCGTAATATACACGACAAAAACTACATTATCGTATCGACCAATGAAACCGTCGGCCTTAGGGGTTCTTCCTAACCCAGTAACCCCTGACCGCCCGGCTTATCCCTCCTTTAACTGTCTCTAGCGGTAATCACCTGAACCCTATTGTTTCTCTGTCTCCCTCTGTATGTATATACTTTATGTGCGCCTACGGCATTCCACACACTGTTTGTTGGATTTGTCTCCGCCTACCTTCTCTTACTTATATTACTACTCTTGTATGGTCTACTCCACAGGTTCGATCAAGTATCTACGTTGTGTAATTTCAGAGAGGTTACCGTTTTTCTTTGAATTCGATTTGGCCCTAATCACAAATGTTCATTTTTTTATTGCTATCTCAACTGTTTTGAAGGGTGAACGCCTCCACTCAACGATGGACGCTTGAATGTTATCACACAATATTTGACAATGCAGACCGTCGTCACAGTCAGTCACCTTGTTTTACAATACAAATCTGTTACATAGGTACAGTCGCCTACTCGGATTCCCTGTTGATCCGGCAACCCTAACCCTGAGCACGGCACATACTAATGTACTGTGTCATGCATTAATACTGCAGCAACTGCTATATATTTAAAATTATTGAACTTGAGAGGGCAAACTTTCAGCCAAATGACCGACTCTGCTACAAATTGAATACAGGCATTTGAAATCACCACTTCTACCTCAGTAGCCTTCACAATATATCCGCCATTGTCCATCGACACGGATCGAAGGCACAAATTAAATATGCTTTCAACAGAATAATGATTCAACAATAATGCTTCCTCTTCGTATTGTTATTAGTAATATATAAACCGTGCTTGAAGGCAAGCGGTTTGACAAATCGTGCCATAGTCACGGTGTCAGGCTGCTCCGCCTTTACGGATGCTAGGTCAACTTTATTTAAAAGCGAATAATCTTGCAAGCGCTTTTGCTCGCCCCGTCATGTTCTAAGTACGAAGCACACAAAAAAGCTAAAATACGTACATCAACATTAACAACAGTAACAATATTATCACCTGTATTACTACTGTCTAACGTAAACAACTCCGCCTTTACACGACCGCACTCGCACAATCATCTTGGTGAGCAATAGAGGTCCCTTCCCGTCTGAGTAAGAACTATATGCCCCTTCTTCTATTTTAATGGCAATGCCTCTCCATGTCGTGTTCAAGCTAATTCTCGAATAGTTCCAGTGTGTGTCATTAATGATTCGGCTCGACATCTTGTATCACGTTTGATATTTCACGATCCTATCATTCTCATTCATCAAAAATACATTGTTCTTATAACTCAAAACATATTGATGTATGTATATGCCTTTTGTTTAGTCTATACATTATATGGCGACGGCTGCTACGAGATACGTCGCAGCCTCGGCGTTGCTGGTATCCTTAGTGCAAATATGTTGAATAGAAACAAGATCATTCGTTTGAATTGGGCAACATCGCTCTAACAAGTTGATGGGGAATAGTTTTTGCACACCTTATGTCAGCCACCTGCGGCTACCAATAACAACACTCTATACAACAATAACCGAAATCAAGTCTAATTTATACGATATAGTTCTGTGGATCAACACCCCTTTTACCTTCTATAATAGTTCGTATAATCTACGTGTGCATGATGACCTGGCGGTATGCGACACCGAATTTGAGTCAATTTAATAAATATATAGTAGACTGGTCCTTATGGTCGACTACAACTTGAGCTCGACTGACTCGTCGATACTATTGTATTTTCAATATCATCTTGTGTGAAGTCCGTGCGTGCCCGTCACAATGAAGGATAAGTGGCTATGCGCACACCGTCACTTCCGTATTCATGCGACCCGACATTTATACCGCACGTATCGCGTATTCTTGCGGTTCTTACGGTGAAATCGGTAACAAGAAAACGCTTTATGCTTTATCATTTGTTGCTTTTGCACAGATATATAGGCAAATCAAATGCTTCGATGTGGGAAATATCATAGCATTGACGCTAGGAGCCGCGGCGGCATCCACGAGCTTTAGTAACGCCTGCAACCCCAAATACTTCTTTTCTACAGTGGAGCACTAATAAGCAATACGAGGTAGGGGGCATAAAAGAGGGTGGAAGGCTAATAGCAGCGTCTACGAGCTATCGAAGACCATCCGTCTCGATAAATTAAATAATAGTTAACCGGTCACTAATAGAGCCACGCATATTAATACCATTATGTATATATATATATATATCAATGAGTTCATGTTAACGCAGTTACCGGATTAGCAACACAGCTATTTCTTGAGCTCTTCAAAGACTAAGGTTTCGATTGCCACTTTCGTCGTTACGTTTACTGCTGCCACCGACGCTGCTACCATCGTCTCTGTTATCAAATATCAGCCAAAATCAAATAAATTATAACATATATTGCGTCTTGTTTTCAAAATCCACCATTATAATAATAATAATACGAAAAAATGATTGGCTGAGGCGATACGAAAGTTTTACCCGAAAGCTTCACTGCTACCGAGACGGCTAATACGGATATCCTAACCCCGACGCATTCCGTTAATACTTGGGAAGCGCTTCTTGTCCGGTACGAAAAAGACTGTTGCAGCCTTTGTTAACCTTCGTTAGGATAAAATGCAAGTGGACATGTCCTTCATTCGTTTGTTCAGTGTCATTAACAGAAGTAATAAGATGTGTAAAAATATTGTATCGTGTCCTACATGAATCTATGTATGCGTGTTCAGGTGTACCTCTCAAGCATAGTTTCAGTGGGCCTCTTCAAGCTGTGCCCGGTACGATTTATTCACGTTTTGTCGAGTCTCGTTAAGAGCCTTGGTTTTGACAAAGTCCAATTCTTTGTATTCGATCGCAGTGCTCTGCTGCATCTGCACCGCCGTTGATGATGACGGACACGTTTGTGACTGCTGTTGTTGCTGCTGCTGTTGACTGCTGGCTGACGAGAGGTGATGACCGCCGTGGTGATGGCTTCCATGGGGGCCTGGCGTTCTCGGTGATGGCGTCGATGGCTCGGCATTGCCCAAATCAAGGTACTGAAGTTCATGCCCATCGCCTGCAGTGCACGATCGGGTGGCCAGGTTATAACAAAGATGACCGAAATAAAGACACTAAAGGTTAACTGATGTTTATCGAATGCCAGATATTATATATAGATTATTATTATTATTGAGTATGGGTTATAACACTAGGGATATTTTGGTGTCAACACATTGGATCCTTAAAAATTGTGTAGTCGATAAATATTTCTAGTAATAGCCGTAATGAGACGCCAATGACAGACCATCGGCGAGAAGTAGAGCGTCGACCGCGGTAGAACTACTTGCTCCTCCCCCTCCAGGTGCACCACTACATGGTTTTCGGAAATCGTGCGGAAAGAAGTGCTGAGGCCCCACAGGGGTTCCAGAGATTATGGACGAACTGTTTGTACCCCCACCATGCCCACCATTTATGGTGCCGTTATTGTTTCGAGTGGGAACAGGTGGGGGAGCTGGCGATCCGCTACTGCCCGTATTAGTTGAATTTATCCGACGGGGTACAGTACTTGCGATCTGGTAACGAACGTGTAAAAGACAACAGCCTCCCTTAAATGTCAATCGATCACTAGAAATAATTTTTTTCCTAATTTACTACATTTTACAAAATACAGCAAACAGAGGCGGTTGTTCGCTGAAGTTCATAGGATCCGGCACACTTTAGGTTGTCTCGTTCAATATTGCCTATGTCATTGATTCTTGGGTCATAAATATGAGTAACATATCTGTATCTGTTTCGAAATTAAGAATAATACTCACAGTGTACCTTTATAAATTTTACAAAATAGTTCGTTAATCCTGCGTTAATACTTGTCAGGTTAATATATAAAAACTAAAAGTCAATAAGAATTTACGTATCACACACATGCTCAACAGACCAACGAGAAATATTGGCCTTTATAGCGTGCAATATATATATATATATATATATATATATATAGTTTCTTTTGGAAAACATATCGTAAGAGGTTTAATTTTGAAATACGTGATCTTCTTTGTATGAATTTAGCCCATTGAAATACTACAAATCAAGCCTCCTAATTATGGTATCTCCTAATTTATAATAGCTGATCAAAACTGTTGCCTACTGTGGCTGAAGGCGGCGTAACAGGTTCATGAGAAGGTTTTGGCTTCAGTCTTCGATTGACGGCTGGAGGAACAGAATTTATAAGTTCTGTTGAGTCAGGCAAAAATCCACCAGTGGTCGAAGTTGGTCCAGCTGATGCAGCCATATCCCATGCATTCCCGTAAATTCGACCGGTCCCTCCGTCAAGTGGTCCTGCTGTGCCTCCTTGCGATATTGGCACATCGTAGGCACCCTCGTCACAAACACTATGTCCGTCAAATGGCCCTCGCATGCCTGGAGGCTTCGGTGGTCGTGGTGGGGCATCCACCAAGGTTACAGGTGGCGGCACCTGTTGGCCAGTGACTTAGTTAAATTCAAATCTGAACAATTACTAAGTATTATTCCTACCGCTATTGCTACTTATCATCACTATTGGTCCACGTCAACTGTGGGAGGGAAAACGGTGCCAGTTTGGAGAGTCAACAGGGTACTAAAGGGCCTTGACTCTCTCTTAAGCTTTGTTTTGTTAACACTGGAACACAAACAATATTACTCTCACAAGAAGGTAACCACAATACTTTTATTTTTTAGGTATTATACTATATATATATTATGGTGTGCTTACCACGTCATATGAGAGCGCGTCTGTGCCGAGTACAGACGCGTCCAATCTACTGCTCACCGCGGCATTATTTGTAGGTACGAGATAGTGATCTGTCCGAATTTCTGGTGGATTTACATTTGCTGGTGGTGGACTTTTAGTCAATATGTCCAAAGGAACCGGCGTGGACTTTGGGATTGCGTATGTCGCAGAGGCGCCCTGTTGCGTGTCGCTGGGTAAAGGCCGCGGAACCGAGTAGGCGGACGTGTCACCTACGGTTACTACAGTGGAGGCGATCGGTTTCGGAACGGAATACGTTCCCAGGTCGGATCGAGGAACATCGTAGTTAAATTGTCCTTGGCCGCCACTCGCACCCCCCGGGGGCGGCGGCCTAGCCGCCAAATTGTTGCTCATCTCGATTCTTCGCATATCGTCCATAATCGGATCGGGTGACGTACGGTCTGCGCTTGTCCATTTTGCGCCGGTCCTACACTCTAAAAGGGGAATATAGGGGGAGGTCTCCTTATCTTTACCGCCTGAACTATCAGCGGTCCGAGGTCCGGAACTGAGCGAACCCCCACTCTCCTGAGATGGGACAATTTTCAGGGGAGCTGGGGCAGTTCGCTTAGCAACGTGTGGTAGAGGATTTGGAATACCTGCAAGCAACAAACATGAACAAGTACACATATATATATATATATATATATATATATATATGTTGAACAAACGTATATCCAAAGGATTCCGCTTTTGCTATGAGTACACGAACAGAGTCTTTTAGCGACGAGCAATGCAAAATACGTGTATAACGCTAGCTAAATCGATCATGTAAGTGTTAAGCTCAATTTGGTGGGCCATGAGGTACAAGAAACAGAATTCGAGCATTACTATTTTTGTTTCATCAGGAGGTCTAAAGTGAAAACGACTGTTAAGTATAAGAACTAGATGTGTGAAATTGACTTTTCCGAAACGATACAATTGATTTTATCAACCTCACAAGTTAGTTCGCATCGTGAAGGGTAGTATTCGAGTAGCATTATTCTAATGTAACAGCCTCAAATCGTCTCTTAATTAGATCGAAGCTTTTCAGGACAGTCTTTGTACTTCACTGAACTGCACCACATGCATTTATTGTGCCTCTCTAAATGTCTTCGAAGGTTACTAATTCTTACGTTATAGCTTTTTTTAACGATGTAGGCCATTCATAGTATATAGAGATTCTACGTAATCCTCGGCCATACATATAATGACTGTATGATGCATCTATAGCAGCAGTTTCTGATTTCGAACCATGTCTATTATTGATTCGTTACTTAATATGCTATGGCTGACCCATCTCGGTTCATTCACTACCAGTTCATTACCATCGGGCCACTACTATGGGCTCATTGTCCTATCCACGGCGCTGTCGTGAAAACCGCAAACAACTATCAAGAAGCGGCCATTCATGATCAGCATAAATTTTATTCCAGGCATCATTGCATTCGTCTGTAGAATCACAGGCCGACAATTCCTAAACAACTTATTTCTACTTAATAGAAATGCTCCTTTCGTCGGGGTAAAATGGACAGCTGATATGAGCAATCCATCCCGCCACGTGTATACATAGCGCCCTATTGGAAATGACCAGCGGCGTTTTAATCAGCGCTAGTGAATAATGTTTAACTTCTTTATTTAATCATCGCCTCTATTTTTCTTCCGGATGATCTCAAGTAGGACAACAGCACGCCTGTCATCTCGAAGCTGTAATAACTCACGGCGTGCTTAGAGAGTCCTAGCGACCGATAGCGTCAACGTCTATAGGCTCACAACAATTTTCTCGTATCTGTAGGTCTAGATGATTCAACTGGATAAATTTGATCTCATCGCATATTTTGCTCTGTGAAACCATGGCTAAAATTACTCTATAATTTACAGAGTCTAACTCCATAGCTGCTACGATTTAGTTCTTTTACTGCAAGTAAATATAGGTAGTGGCTCTTCCAACAGACATCTTAAAGTACGGGATTCTATGAACAATTTCATGAACGATGTGTCCTTACATACGTGCTGCAAACTATGCAACAAACATTTTAGCTGACTGAAGATCACACGACACTGCACGGTTCAGCTTACACAAACGCTAGTCTAGGAGCAAGCAGTTGGTCTCTATGACTCATCCTACGACCATGTCTCCACGCGATATACCGAATGCTACTGAGAGCTTATATATACACACATGGAAAATATAGAAACAACCTCATATGCCGTATGTATATATAGGAGAAAACACAGTTTCACAAAAACTAATAGCGCCACAAAAATGCAATAGCTATAAAAATTTAAAGAAAATTATTTTTGTAAGGGCAACACAGAGTATCTTAAGCTGACGCTGTGCTATGCCCCAATTCACTTTCAAAGGCTTGCCTAACATGTTACACTTGTCAGTCCTTTGTTTCTGTACGTTGCGCTTCTTAATGCGTAATATCCGCTTGAAAACAAAAGGGACTCAGGCTTATTGATGAAATTGTATTTTACAGATTTTATGTATATCAAGAAAATTCTACAAGCTATAGCACCAGGACTATCCACTGCACCATACAAGATGGCAACTCGTTTTCGACGAGTGGGTCATTGGTCGGGCCGCTGACATATTTAGCACTAAAAAGGAGAATGGCGTTGCTGTGCCGGTGCCAATGTTTGCATCTGAAAAATCAATAACATCTGCCAAAAGTGGTGCTGGCTTAAGTTCATAGAACGAGCGATTTGCCTGCAGTGTTGGGAACGATTTTTTTGAGGAAAGGCAAATCACCGTGTGATTGTTGTCGTTCGGTGACTGACTAACCGTAATTCGCGATAGCCCATAATTCCATTAGGAGAATACTCTGAGACCCCAAAGACAAAGGTTATTGTGGAGTTACTACCATATGAAAACAGATTAATTTTTTGTCGCTACTAAGGCGGTTCTCTTCCTGATACAATTTTGTTTGCCCCATGTCGCTTTAGTGAGTGTTCCGCACACAAATATTTGTTTGGCTTTCGCTGATTAGAGCTTGGCCTGCCACAATAACAGACGGCGGCATTACCACCGCGCCATTTCTGAGGGTTCCGTTGGCCAGCGGATCCGCCTGCAACGGCGTAACATGCAGAGTACGCTAGTCGCTCAGTAGCAGCTGGGAAACAGTTAATCAATGATAACGTCGAGCGCTGTCCCATATCACATCAGTGATTCACAATCATGCTCGATTGGGTACATAATGTTTAGTTCTCCTGAAGGCTGTAGCTCTTATGAGCTGAGTCACCGGTGACATTACTGCAAAGCTATAATTAATTCGCTAGTGCGCTTCCAGCTTTGTTCCATTTGAGTTTCGAGCTGCAGCCATCAAATGCATTTAGAGAAAATCAAAATCCTTTCTCACCGGAAAATTCGTTGCAGTAACTTAGAGTAAAACTGAACACGCTAACTCGTATGTTGACCTCCCCATACTTTTGAAAAAGACATCCAGGCTGACTACTGAAAACCGACGTTCATGATTATTGTAGAAGCTAGTTAGGATAAATAAAACCGGGTGCACTCGCTGAAATTTCAATCACGTTGTTGGAAAGTTGAGCGTTTTTAAGCTGTTGCTAACAAGCGAGCTCAGCCTGACTACTTCTAAGCAGAAGAGAGGAAAAAAATAGGTAAACGAATTGTACCTTTTTTTTTTTCTGTTTGCCAAACGTTTCTGTCTGTCTGTCTGTCTGCAGAAAACATGAAAACGCTTACCTCCAGCTTCAGCGAGACGCGAGATCCATATCTTATAGTCATCGAACGATTCCGTGCTCAGGTTGTACTGCCGTTCGCTGGTTTTCAGCACGAATGAAAAATGTCGGCGTCCGTTCTCTCCTTCAGGACTAATTCCTCGACATTGGGAAAGGTCAATGCTTCCTAAAAATCAACGCAGGGACAAAAGAATGGCTGAATAAAGTGGTGACAATCGATCACAGATGCTGTCATAAAATAGCTACTTGATATAAAAACTGTGACGATGTACCTATGACGAATAAGAGATATTTACTTATTACTACTGCTATCGTTTTAGTAGTAGTTGTTGTTCCAGACTGACGTATTTCTCATAACTTTCTTAGATACAGCGACCAGAATCGAGCTTGTAGCTCTTGAACAAATCACAGCTCAGGCCTAGCACTGCCGGCCTTGTCCATGCTTCGGTGATTCGAATTCTCGTCATTTTTCGCAGCTTTCCGACGAGTTCCGTCAATTTTCCGACGAGTCACACTCAGATTTGTCGTTCAGGTAGTATCAACTCAAAAATATCGTGATAACAGTAAATGGACTAGCCGTTTAGTGCTAAGAAAATAAGCGGTAATTTTATCGTTGAGTTCTCCTCATGAGCTGCCACTATTTTCTCAGTAATTGTTTTTTAAAAATGATTTGCTTAAGTATCAGCTTGATCGATAAATAGCGATTTATTATTACAAATAGCTACTGTTCTATGAGCCAATGTATCATGGATGGCTTTTATCGCTATTAACGCTAATCTTACACATTCTATTCGTCGCTCAATTCGCGTACTATACAACCTCTGTAAATGGAGTTAGTTTTTATGTTACTTATAGTTTTTATTCGTATTAAGATTATTGCCGCTAAAAAAATCGTTCGATCGAACTAATAGACGCAAACAGCTGGAAAAGCCGTTGACAATTCGGAGTGTGAAGGGAGCAGGCGGCGGAACTCAGACGAAAAACCGCAGGAACAGTGATTGAAGGATTTAATGACACTAAATGAAATAAACCATAAAAGTGAACCGTCGGTGATACCGGTACGCGTATGCTCATGCAAAGGGAGGGGCCTCTGTGCCGGTCACATCGAAAAGACTGAGCGAAAATAACCGAAAGCGAGAAGCACAGCCGATCGAGATCAAAAGAAAGCGGAATCGGGAGGCGCCATCGAAACCACCGCCGTTAAACTGTAACAATGCTAACAGTCGTTAAAAACGGCGCACGATAGCAACAACAACACCAATACAATGCTTACGTCAACGACGACAAGAAGCGGATGGGCAGACGGCAAATGGAACGCGCAACCGAACAATTACTGATCATTTCTTGTTTTCTGGTAAATGCTTGACAGAAAGGAAGAAAACACCTAATCAAATAGTAATAATATCTCTCTAGCAATCGAAACAATGGATGGAGTCGAGTAAGAGTAGTCGTTGAAGAACGACAAAAGTACAAAAATAGCTCTAGCAGTGTTACAGATTGTTCTCAAGGCCGAGTTTAGGAGGGCTCTTTCAGTGACAGCATGCAATAATCATTCTGTTAGGTAATCAGATGGCAGACGCTCGTCGAATATCGCTATTGTGTAGATCATGGTGTGCTTATCGGTGACATTGTCACAACGTAGGGCCGCCACCGCCTTTGTATGGCTTCATAACGACCTAGTACCCAGTTGAAACAATTTCCGCTAGCCGACACAGCAGTGACATGAAAGCGTGGTACAAACAGAAACGCGATGGTTGCAGCACCAGGTCAAATGGTAACACGTGAGTACACGTATTAGTCCGTCGTTGGCGTTCATGCCGGCGTCAACTTTGCTTGCGAATTCGGTTCAATGCTGCAACACACCATGTGTCTGACCTAGTATCATATATGTCAATGTTTATACGACGACAATGTTCACTCTCCATCCACAGTCCATACAAGCTAGCTTGGGTATGAAAAGCGAGCTTTTATGACAAAAAAAAAATACATGTACTTTGCATATACCATTCGTCCGTTTTCTTATGGCCTTTTAAAGGAAGTTTACGTTTAAACTCGGCAGGGAGGGAAATAGACACCCACGGCTCATGCTGAGCAGAGCCTAAAGATGTTACATTGATTGATTTATTTACCTCTGTTTCAGATAGCAACTTCGACCTTTGCTTGCCTCGATCCAGTATGCGAGTAGCATAACGGCAACTTGTCATAAGCTCGAGATAACGAAAGACTTAAGCTTTTATTTAGTGTATTTACTACTGTATAACTATGGTGAGGGTAAGAATATATGACAAACGCCAAGAACGTGTCTATGAAATGACTAATATCGCCAATGGCTCTTTACAGAGAGGCCACGCACGTCTAGTATGATGAGCCGAGTTTGGAAATAGTTCGGAGAAAAAGGTCAAATGCATATTCCCGCCTGCATAAATCACGTGCACAATTTGCTTACGTTAGCTACATGACGGTAAATCCATTCTCGACGAATCTGGTCATAATATTGCAATGCTCACATGCACCGTTTCGTGTCCAACGCATCTATCGGTAAGACTTATTGTTATTAAACCGTCATTCTTATTTCTGTCTTCGTATATTTCTCTTGTTTTCGATTCCTTTCTTGAAGAAAAAAGGTTAACAGCTAAACATTACTGGCACTACTATTACTGCCATAAATTTCCAAGAAGCTGTAAACAAATCCCACTTCAACGCAAAAATCCTACTCTGGCTGAGAGCACTAATCAGAGTCATAATTAGAGCATTCATATTCATCTTCCCTTCGAGTTTACCTAGTACCGTGTTGATCTTGCCCCGGCCTATTTTCCTGCTTTTTACGTTCAATACACGCTTCTACGATGGAGCCTATTACCGCTGGCTAGTTGTCAAGCAGCGACCAAGTAACACAGATCAAAAAACAAGAAGGCAATCTCGCCTAGTTCTGGCTCATTCTCTGCAGCCGCAGACTCGACCAGCGGCCTGCAAAACCGTACTGGCTAATAGGCATCCACCGAATAGCTCAGACCGCAACATATTTTCTCGCTGCACGCATACTTTTCCTACACGATCATACACATCCCAGCGCGTGTCTAGCTCGCTAAGCGATTCCCGCTGAGAGCCGTAGGACCAACGAGCGCGTGCTGATTTGATACGAACACAAAACTAGGTGGACATAGCCGTCGCCTATTTGCCTCTATGCAAACGAACTGCCATGAATGCAAAAGTCAGTCGGTATCCGATCGCCAAACACCGGCAACACTGGCTGTATTAATATTATCTATTATTATTATATATATAATAGTATCATTGCAAACGTACAGCCAACCAATTAGGCGGAAACGATTGTCGACGCCTAGATGGAAGCTTAGAAATACTTGTGCCTATTCTATGATGTGCGGTAAAGAGGGAGATGAAATTAATCGTACGCCAATAAACAAACCTTTCGCCTTGGTCGACGTCGGCTCGTTGAAGTACTCGAGTAGGTAGCGATCATCCTTTGTCGAGCGTAGCACAAACCAGCGCTTGCGGCACTTCGAAAACGTGTGATTCGCGTGCGGCATCTTCTGCAGCCAGCCAGCGTGGAGAATAGACATCGAATCCATTTCGCGAATGGACGAGCGTATAAACAAGCCAATTATCACACTATCGTCGCTGCAGTCGCCGTAATAGGCGCTTTCTAAGCAGTTCCCGTCCGTACTGTTGGTAGCATTTACCGGGACGATGATTTGTCCACCTGAAATGATGTCGCACATTGGATAACATTGTAGAAACTTCCGCTTCATATTTCGCGCTCTTCCAAACGTCAACGCTGTCGTTCTATTGGACGTTACAGTAGCTGTCGTTGCTGACATGTTGCTGCTGAAAGTGTCTTTGCTGGTTGGTCCACTGCCGGTAAAGATCACAATGTTACGTTTTTCCCTGATTCTACGACAAGCAAACTGCACGATCGAACCAAGCCGATAGTTTACTTTTTTTTTTTGACGGAAAAGAGGAAAATGGTTAAATAGAAGTGTTTAGTAAATTCGATACTTTGTTGCCTCTGGTGGAATCACTATGTGCCTTCCATTTTGGCCGGTATTTCGGGACGTCGACAACGAGTTGGAAGCGATACCTGACTAGAATAAGGGTAGCATCAAACAGTAGTTACGTTTCGATCGATAGGCATAAACCCCATTAAAACGAAAGACACTGATTTTACTGTACTGCACAACCAAATCGTAGATAGCAGCGACCGCACAAGCCAGCCTTTCGGGTCTACTGGCTCACAGCGCGCTATATCGTCTCCACAAATGTAAACGAAGTAAGACAAAACACGAATTAACGAGATGACGAAACCGAGTTAGCGAACATGTGTCTACCCGCCGACCCAAGAAAGAGTGAATGACAACTGGAGCTGTGACGTCGAAGGTGGTGCAGACCCAGCCTATATGTCGCTGTTGCGGCAAGGCAATTGAAAGAATGCTCAAGCCACACAAGAATGGGCCACAAAAAGCTGCAACAATAACAGCCGCTAACGACGACGGTGAACGGCTAGACTATCGCCTAGACTTTCATTTGAAAAATAGTCGCGTTCTATTTCATTGTGGTGTGTGATATACACAGACTAGCTATTGGCTACATAAACAGAAACCGTTTCGCCTGTGTCATCGACAACTGTGAGCAACTGCCACCGCGTGCCCACGATGCTGCCGTAATTCCACCAGTGGTAACAACAGCAGCGGTACAACTCTTTCCACACCCTTCTTTTCCTTAATTTACAGTAATATCAATAATAGTAGTCATAATAAAAATGGAAACTCAATCGTGCTGACGAAGATCGCCAGTAAGCTTAGATTCGCGCTTCGTATAGTAAAACAACCGGTGATGAAGCATCGGTCGTGGGCGATAGGCAAGCAAGTGGGCGTGGAAAGGGATAGGCAAGAAGTAAGGTAACGGTGACATCGTCTTTGTAGTCTTTGCTTTTCGTCGTAGTAGTGTCATTACGGCAGTAGTACTATTTGTAGCTTTCCTGCTAAATTACGACCTCGCCATACACGAACGAAAGCCCGTTCGTCTGTGTACCACTATCATTACTATGACCGCCAGTGAGTATCAGTATTTCGTTTGCGACCCAGTCACCCAGCCCGCTAGCCCGTAGTCAGTCATCAAGCACGATCTCGTGCGATGACGCAAAGCATACGGAACTCGGCCGGCAGCCAGCTAATCGGTCAACAAGCACAAGCCAGTAACCGACAACTCACGCACGCGAAAAAGATACGCGGTCACACAAATAAACTCACTCATAACAGCACTGAACAATTTTGTATGCATTCAACGACACATCGACATATAAATACGTACACATACACACACAAAATTACATGTACGCGTCATGTATACCTGGCGAGAGGTATAGCGAGACCCAGCTTACCTCACATATAATAATGGATTTGATAGTTGTTGTCGGGGCGGTACGTTTGTTTGTTGGTTTGATGGCTCAGCGATGACTAACCGAGCCAGTTCTTCATTGTCCCTGTCGATGCGATGTCGCTACTGATGTAGTTCCTGTTTCTGTTGCAAACCGTCAATCACAATGATGTTTGATGACTCGGGCACTTGTTCGTTTTGTACCGCCTGGCTCGTATCAACCGATAACGGAAACGTTGGCTATAACGTCTAACCGTGAAGTGTAATAGTCGGAAACGCTTGATTCAATGCTGTTTGTTTGGTTTTCGCGCCGAAGTTAGCCATTTGAACTTACTGATTTTTTTCCACTTTACCGTTTATGTCTATGGGGTTCGAGTAGCAGTAACCGATATTGCTGCTGGGTCACAATCAGTTCACACGTCTAGGCTGGTTTCGGAACTCGTTCTGTTCGATGGACGCATGTCTTGTCGGCAAGTCTGTGCGCTGCCAATATTTCTGGCAGCGACAGACGAAAGCAGCTGCAGTGGCGGCTAGCCAGGGTCCACCTGGTGCACACCACGAAATGGACTTGCACGCTTACCAGGTCATCCCGCTAATGCACACTTCTCGAATCGCGCGGCCTCAGACGCTTAGCGGATTCTACTGAACACTGAAACACTGGGGGAAAAGGGAGAAAGACGTGAACGTAGAAAGAAACGCACAAACAAAGAAAATAGCAGGACGCAACGATGAAAGCAACAACGAGTGTACCTCACAGTAACACCGCTGTTACTACTTTTTATAGAAAAAAAAAAGTACTGGCGTATGTTCCGCAACAATACGTCGGCGGCATCGCATATACACAAACACAGTCGCACATAGGCACATAACAGCGAACAAAAACTACGAGAACACGGGCTAAAGGAGCATTACTTGTGAACAGGGAAATGGTCAGCACACGCAACTGCCGGCCAAGTACATCAATAATCACAGCAGAAATAATCAGCAACGGAACCGTCCTAGTGGGACACTTCAAAAAATTGTTATTGTCACCTATTTGAATCCATATGCCGAGTAAGTAGTGTGTGCGATAGATTCTAGCGATGTCGTATTACCAAAGGTGTAAAATCGTATAAAACCTGCTACAACAACGACACGAAATCTAAACAATTACGCGACCGAACACGAAGCCGATCTTCTAACTTACGTTGTGAGCTGGCAACTGCTAACGCTGCAGATGCCGTGATTCAATCTCTGGAACCACACGGTTGCTCCACGTACTTTACGGTTTTCTACGACACACTCAATTAACAGTACTCAAAACACCAGCAACATTAGCACAATAGCACCATTGTTATTATTGTTATTGTCATTATTACTATTTCTACCTCTGCTATGATTAGTCGTTCTGCCGCTGTCGCTGCCATTGGTGCCTCTACCACTTCTTCATTCCTTCTCGTCCATCCCCCAGCCGCAGCAGCGCCCACAATCTTGAGGCAGACAGATAGGCCAACTCGAGAATTCTTCTTCTGCCACTGACTCTGTTATGTATCCCGACGGCGCTGTTGTGTCTAATGTCTGTGCTGCCTACTTCTACTACAACACACGAGTGTTGCTACCGCTTCGAGGAGGACGATATTCATACTCCTCGCACATCGACTGGCAGCACAGTCGGCTTTGGGCAAGCTACAAGCGGCGACCAACGGCGACCACCAGCATCTAGCTAGTCATTCAACCAGCCAATCAGGATATCTAAGGAACGGAACAGCAACAGTGGCGGCTGAGACAACGTAGTCTGCTCCTCGTTGAAAAAGGAGCCGAAACCTGTAGTAAACCGGCAGCAACAGCAACAGCGACAGGGTCTGGGCCTGTTTTTCTGTCTCAATAGGAACGGGGAAGGGGAGAACCTGCTGATTTGAAACGTCCCTCAGAGCTTCATCGTTATTAAATCGACGGAACTGTCAATTCGCGCTCCGAGCTCTATCGCTCGGAAAGAGAATCAATAACAGAACATGCGGGCGCAGATGGCAGCCATATTCCTTTCTTGTTTTGGATTCGTCGGCACGTGGACTTGTATGTAGTGTAGTGCAGGAGTAGTACTGCTACTATTACTGAGTTTGTTGGCTACGCACTGATTCGTTGTTGTAGCGCAACGGTTGCCGGTGCATGTAGTGTTCGAGCACACCGTTGTTAGACAGTAGTACACCGAAGTTGTTTTTGTTCATGTCAGCTGCGATAGTTGGTGGCATATCCGTGGTGCGGAGGAATCGTTAAACGGTTTTCTATTGTCCGGTGACGGCGGCAAGGCAGCCCGTTGTTAGCCCGCCGGAACCGCGATGGCACCGATCCTTCGCGTACTTTTTGAGCACGCCACAGGTTATTCATTGTTCGCCATCAAAGAATTTGAAGAAGTGTCCGCGTTTTTGCCACAGGTTGAACGGGCAGTACTGGACGTGAGCAAGTTCAAATCATCAATTGTGGACCTTGTGGCGTTCTCCCCATTCAAGACAGCCATCAATGCGCTTGAAAATATTAACGCTGTCTCTGAAGGTGTTGTCCATGACGACCTTCAGCTTTTTCTCGAAACAAATCTCCCAAAAAAAAAATCCAAATTTATATTAGGTCTTGGCGATGCCAAACTCGCTGCCACAATTAATGAGCAGTTCGGCTATAGCTGCACACATGTGGGCATCGTACCAGAGGTACTCCGAGGCATTCGATTGCATTTCGCTAAGCTAATCGAGGACCTCAGTGAGTACAACTGCTCCAAGGCACAGCTAGGTCTTGGCCACTCCTATTCGCGTTCGAAGGTGAAGTTCAACGTTAACCGTGTGGACAACATGATCATTCAAAGCATTGCCATTCTTGACCAACTTGATAAAGATATTAACGTCTTTGCAATGCGGGTTCGTGAATGGTATTCCTACCACTATCCGGAACTGGTAAAAATTGTGAACGATAATCACATGTATGCCAAGGTACATCATCTCAGTTACATATCGGTAACGCTTAATCAGAGGTATCGTTCGATAATAACTAATCTGGCAATCTTCGTATTACCAAGGAAGTGTTATCATATAATTTTTCATGACATGTGCTTAACTTTAGCTATGCTCATCTGCTTACCAATAACTATGTTACTAGAGTGCCTGTCACATAGATTTATTGTGGTATTTCGCATTTCGAGCCTAAGCCTGGAATCTGAGGTTATAGATCAAACTTAACTACTGATGTTGGTGTGACGTTGATAATTTCAGGTATGTCTGCTCATCAAGGATCGCAAAAACCTCGAAAATAAGGAAATTCAGACACAGCTAGAAGAGCTATTGATGGATTCGGCAAAGACTCAGGCAGTCGTCGACGCTGCCCGCGCATCAATGGGAATGGACATTGCTCCTATAGATCTGGCCAACATCGAGATGTTCGCCTCGCGTGTTATATCCCTGTCTTCATACCGCAAGCGTCTAACGGAATATTTGCGGTTAAAGATGCATGACATCGCGCCGAATCTAACAGCAATTGTTGGCGAAAGTATCGGTGCCCGTCTGATTTCCAAGGCAGGTTCACTTATCAATCTAGCCAAGTATCCCGCGTCGACTGTTCAGATTCTTGGCGCCGAAAAGGCACTATTCCGCGCAATGAAGACACGCGGTAACACACCCAAGTACGGTTTGCTTTTCCATTCAACTTACATAGGCCGTGCTCAAAAACGCGACAAGGGCCGTATTGCTCGCTACGTTAGCAACAAATGTTCGATCGCGTCGCGTATCGACTGTTTCACCGATGAGGCCTCATCGGTGTTCGGAGAGAAACTGCGTGACCAGATTGAAGAGAGACTGAGATTCTACGAGACGGGCGAAATTCCGCGCAAGAACGTCGATGTAATGATGGAAGCTGAGGTGGAGGCCAAAGCAGCGGCGAAGGCAGCTAAGAAACTTAAGAAAAAAGAAAAGAAAAAGCGGAAGGCAGCCGAGGCACTTGATGAAGAGGCGCAAGCTAACGGAGATGAAAGTATCTTGAATGGAACCTTGTCGACCGGGAAGGAGAATGGCGAAGCTTTCGAAGAAGAACAGCCAAAGAAAAAGAAAAAAAAAGCCAAGAAATCGAAGAAAAACGATGACGACGGCGAAGAGAATGAACAGGCCTAATTGTTAAGCTACGGCGTATGCATTCACACATCGACGATGTACTACCGGATGTAGGTGCGGAAGCAAGGTCGCATTGTCCTAAACCTGATAGCATTATGAACAAGGGGTATTTCCTTGCAGATTAACAGGCCACTGTGAAAAATTGCTGAAAAAAAGCATTAAATGCATCAAATGCCTATTGCGAAAGAGCAGTAATTTGAAATGACAACGGCTCTGGCGAGCTGCAACCCTCGACCGAGATATTATAATGTCATTACTTATTCACGTTACATTGTCGCAAGCAATTTATATCATGTTAAATTTTCTGTTGATGACTCTGTATTGGCATTTACTTTAACTATGGACATATATATAATTGATAATTAGCTGAATCACTAGCTGTCAGATAGCAATGCCGTTGTTCAGTTTATTTGGCGAACGAGTATATCATTACTACTACAGGTATGGTTGTAAAAAAGTCATTAAAGAATGACCGCACGTCGACTGAACACGGGGGAGATTTAGTCAATTTTTTTTTTATATTTAGGATGATTAAGACTGCATGTATCTACATTGGTGGGTGTTCTAGGCGGCATGCGTTCTACATTATATTGTACATGGTTGAGAAAAATATTGGCCAGCAATTCGTCGTATCGTGCACTTCCATAGATGTTGTGTGCAATCGACTAGTAAATAACTAAACAAATAAAAAAAATACAATTTTTATATACACTTTCCGTGTTCTTGGCTGCTGAGGGGAACTTCAGGGACACCCGTCCCTTAGATAACTGAGTACGAAATAGCTTTTGAAAGCACGAAATATATAAACAGGGCCTTGTCAATATCTCAAAATTTGTATGGATTTTGAATTTTTAACAGTGAGTTGTACAGTTACAAAAATGCATCGTAAAAAAGCGTTAAATTCTTCGATTTAATACGTACAAAAACTAGAGGGCTTGGTTTTGTAAAGTTATTTTTTTTAACGATTCTCTAACGAGTAGCAGACGGATTCGACCTAAACAATATAACGCAATGCACAGGTAATTACTACTACGTAAAACGGATGTTACAAGAATTGTTCTGCAGATTTACTTCGAACAATATATGTACCGATTAACCCACCGCTCCAAACAAGATAACGTACGGGCGCAAAATTTTTATAATATTCATTTGGGCTCAGCTTTCATATTTTGATAGGAATAATGCTATTGTTATCACTGCGATATATGTATTAACTCCATGGCTTTCAGAAGTTTGCAAACTCTTTCTAGCAACGGAAAGCTACAACTCTAGGCAGATAATTCGGAAGTGTTTTTTCTGTGTGTTGTACATAACTCATTTTAATACGGAACCTGTGTAATTTAGCATGTGAAATTCCTGTCTCAATTTAAGCTGTTTTAACGACATTTTAACCTGACAGCGGTGAAACTGGATTTATCGCGGAGCGATATGTACCAACACAAACGTTCAGGGCATTAATAGGATTACTCCATATAACAATAACACCAGTATTAGCAATGTGCGTATGCACCCTTTCAAATAAACGTTCGAAGTTGTGCGCTTTTTTAATATACGAAATAGAATAATTATTTTCTTTTTCAATTGTTTTCTTCTTTCGACTTAGTATCTTACGGGTAGTTCTATTTTTCTATTGTTCACGCCTCTGCGTACATTTTTTACTTTATATTCAAGCAGCTGAATTGTACGTTTCTTGAATAAAAATGCTAGAGTTAGGGTATTAACTTCACAGCTACAGCCCACTCTTACAGCAGCTGCGCCATTATTAGTCAGAGTAGCCTCTTGGACTGACAACATATCACAGACGATCATTTCAGCCGTTTCAGGAAAGCGGCGAATCTAGGGGTCATCATATTTGACAGAAAACGGGTTTAACGTGAGCAATTTTATTGCCGTGCTGGAACGCTTCCTTCAACCGCTTCTCTATTACTTCTAAGTAGGACAACTACAGATCTAGATATAAATCCATTGCGCGTTGTTCCAGACGAAACCACACGATTAGCTGAATAATTGAAGGTCAATTGTACTTCACCCTAAGACACCCTGAATTCGTGTGCAGAGTGACATGTAGTGAGATAAGAAACATCTGTTAATTTAGAAATGCTTCAAGTACGTATTTAGTAAGAAATGCTTTAGGCCTCAAGAACTTTTGTAAAGAACGTTAGCGTTGCACAGTTTATTTATTAAATCAGTTATCAAATATTAATTAATGTAGAACTTCGTCAGCTTCACGTACTAACACGTTAGAGAATAAGAGGCTTTTTAAGGTTCTGTAGTGGACGCATGAAATCATGCTCACCAAGGTGCATGGCATTTTGAACAGTACTGGCTGGCTCCAATAGCTTTCACAAGGAAAGCAGTACGATCTGTCCACTTTGTTCAAAAACGGTTGGAAAATGTTGTAGTTATAATGAGAAGTCTTTTTCGTTTATCGGATCATCCTTGTCTCCTTCATTGGTGATTAGAACATACGTAACAGGATTGTGCGTGCTCGTAGTGCATCTGGCTGATTCTGGCTAGTTTCTTGGCCATGATCTGCAGAATACTGCGAGTTAGCCGGTGAACGTTGCCTGAACATTGCCTATTATATTCGTTCTGCCATGTATGCATAGGAGATGCCGTGCTAGCGTCATTGATGCATTTATGGGCTAATGATTTTTTCGAGGCTATCCTAAACATAGCTAACGCCCAGAACACCAAACACACGGAACTAAAGGTTCGATACAACATCGGTCAACCGCAGTACAACGGACAGGCCTTATTTAGTGTTGTCGCATTGAACAGCTGAAACTTTGGCTAACGCCTCATAAAGTGGCCTAGAGAATGTTTTCATTGTATAAGTCATTTTTAGGCGTTCCTCCACACGAAATCTGAAGATCACAGCAGCGATGAATAGTCGCATGGGAACCGTTTGTGTCTATTATACAGTGTAGCGTAGTCGAACGAAGAGAGCCCACGAGAGACCTGAGTAGACATAACAACGCTTATTGTTGATAATTTTATTTAAGAGGGGTTAAGTTTAAGTCATGATACCTGTAAGTCAAAAATAAGAGCTACTTATTACGAATAAATAACAAATTTGAAATGTTTTTCAATTTTAATTTTAAAAATTAAACATTTTTTACTATTTCACGTATTAATAGTGCACGCTTACTCTGTCACTTGTGTACTGTAGAAGTATACCGTTAATAAAGACGACCATATCTGATCTGAGTCTTAATAGTATTAAATACGCTCTATATGAACTACAAAGAACTGAAGTTATTTGACACAATTTTAGAGGAGGTTGTCTGATATGTAAATGTGCGCGCCTTTCAGTTACGTTTATGTTTTATGAAGGCAGTACTCAGTATTGGTTTACCCGTAGAAAATATCACGAATAAAAAGGCTGATTTTGTGGATTCGGGTTTATGGTTGAAAGTAAGTCAGAATAGTTAGGACAAAGAATCGGGTTATTTGAATCGAATCTTGGAGCAACCTCGAATATATTACTGTGACAATTAAAAAGGTTTGCTAAATCATGGTTCAGGATTTCATAATTTTTTGGTTCTCTGTATCATTACTAGGAAAGGAATGCTTCTCGTTTTACAGAGTCATCGCTCAACATAAATAAAAAAAAGTCGGTTAAAACAAAAAATGTTCTGAATCTGAAATAGTTTGAAATCCATGTATATCCGAACAAAAGTTCCAGGTACTCATATTGGCGCTGATTGGCTGCTAGAACCATTGTCTGGGATTTGCTTTAATAACAACAACAACAAGATAATATATAACCCATATTATATGCGTAGTTAAATGAGCAGTTGATATTTAATTCTGGTGAAAGTATTTAATAACAGTTTAAATCTTCAACTCATTGGGAAAGCATCCACTATTGGCTGTTTTCAGGCACTTTGGCTACGTGAAGAAATGAAAAATCAAGATATAACGGTCATATTCTCACTGATAGTTACATAGATATCTAAAAGGCTTCAATAGAAACCTTGTAGAAAGCGATGTACGCATTAGATGAGACTAGCCTTCGTAGAAGTCAATCTCATGTCATTTTCGTAAAGAAGACGTATATATATGTATCATATTCCTACCTGGTTGTGACAGCCGCTAAAGATACGACATTCGTTGTAAATTGTCGTATCATTTTAGTTACGTTTATAGCCTACCATGTGTAGAAATAACTGTCCGTGACAACGTAATCTATACAATTACAACGATGTCATTGCTCTAACCTGCCTTCAAACGTTAAGAAGTGTCAGTTCTCGCTGTTGGCGTTTTGGCGACGATGGGCTTGATCTGAATATTAATATATTGTAAATAGGTCAATGTTCAACTTTCTTCAGTTACTTCAATTTAGAGTCATGCATTACAACCCGAGATTATTCGTCGTGTTTGTCGTTGGCGTGTTTGTATCGATGTTTTTCACCTTAATACTAGGTCCAATTGTTTACGTACTGTTCACTGAATATAATGCAAATTATACTTTTACGGGGCTGCAAAATATCTGTTCGGTCATATCGGGGGTATATGTTCAGCCGCCTTGACAACTGGACAACATAGGAAAGCATTTGCTTTACATTGTTTATTTGTTTGGTTTTTTGTTCAAATCAAGTTTTTCACCTTGAGCTAGACTGACGACGTGGAAGGCCCACAATGCGAGATGACAGTGATAACTATTTGATTGCAATACACATATTTTGGATACATCTCCAAACAGTACAATTATTAATAAGCACGTTTCGCCGGAGCCAGTCAACAAGATAATATTTTATGCATTTACCCATAAGGATATGCTTGTAGAATTATACCTTGTACGTCTGCCGCTAATGAAGACTGATAACCATTAGCTAAGCTTAAAGTTCTTTGCTTTGAACTTTAAAAAAGTTGTGGAGGATCAGATGTTCGAATTCGTTTGTATCAACAGGTGTTCGATATTTTGAGCAACGACAGATAGTGTCCGCAGATTTCCTGTCTATATTCGCGCTAATTAGGGACACCCAAAAGGACCTAGTCCGTCTTGCTTGGTATGCCAGACCGACATCTTCAAGACTATGTAGATACTTATCGGTGCAAGTGTGGACCATCTTGTATGTCAAGCCAGAAAAGCAAGCTGGTAAGCAAACATCGTCTAAATTGCTACAAAGGACTAATGTCAACGTCTATGTTCGTGGTGTCCTGTAAAGCTGATCATTTCCACGAGACTGGCTGACACCTGTACGACCTTTAACAGTCAATAAAGCACAGTGGATAAAAAGAAAACCTAGAAAGTTATTCGCACGAAACCAGTAAAACTAAAAAACACAATTTTTTGGGGTCGATACAACATCGGCTTAGTGAAAAACGATAGATTTTTTCACACTCGTCCCAGGAGTCGCTGTTGATGAAGTCAGCAGTCTCCACCGCGACGACCTATGTTGTAAGCGCAACTGGGATAATCTGTTGCGCGTTAAGGAGTGCTTAGTGAGCTATACTCCTGATGCACGATTCACTAACCTTTTATCGGAATGAATCAACGGCCAGAATTTGTTTACTGTGACGACTGACGACTAGTATATAACAGTTCCAAGAAAAATTTCCAACTTTAGTGAGCCTAACCGTTTTTGGTATAACGGGCATTGTTGACCAACTTCCAGTTTATTCCACAATTACCATCTACGTTTTACCCGGCAGTCTGCGCACACGTACCTCATGCGTGCCTGCCCTTGCTTGGTATCAGGTTC